GCTCTGAGACAAAGAGGCTTCGGTTCCCATCTCACTGAGCCTGTGCCGGCCTTCTGTCCGTTAGAGCCTGCGACTGTGACGGCCTGTGGCTTTCGGCGTGTGATGAGTGTCCTCATCCACCCTCACCACAAAGATCAAGTGAGATCATTTGTCTGAAGCAGACAGGACACCTGCACACAGTAGCACTCAACAGATGACAGGTATTATCATCAAGATGAGCGGCCCATCCGATTCCTGCGTTTACAGTTTTGCTTATCCTGTTTATCATTGCACATACTATTTAGGTTATCGAATTACGGTAAAGTTCACATAACAAATTAAACAAACGTACTGAACGGTGGATGTACGATTTCACCTGCTCGAATAACGATTTCACCTGCTCTTCCGGAATCTATCACATAAGCAAAGGAAGATGACGATTTCACCTGCTCACACTTCGAATGACGATTTCACCTGCTCTTCCGGAATCTATCACATAAGCAAAGGAGGAGAAAACTCAGAAGCCAAATAGTATTTATGAAAAAAATTAACATGCACTGAAAGGATATAATTAACTCTAGTCAAACAGTTCTTGCGAAGCTGGGTGTAAAACTAAAGCATCCAGTGATGCGTGAAGATGTGTGACACGCTGTGAGGTGAGGTGCCGGAGCTCACGCCCACAGAGGCTCGGCGCCCCGCCTGCCGCCCTGGTCACCTGCACGTGCGCCTAGAGGCTCAGCGGTGGGCGAAGAGTTGTAAAAAAAATGAAAGGAAGGAAGGGAGGGAGGGAGAGAGGGAGGAGGGAGGAAGGGAGGAAGGGAGGGAGGAAGGGAGGGAGGAAGGAGGGAGAGAGGGAGGGAGGGAGGAGGGAGAAGGAAGGGAAGGAGGAGGGAGGGAGGAGGAAGGGAGGGAGGAGTAAGGGAGGGAGGAGGGCAAACCAGACCCACAAAAGGGGCCCCAATAGTCCACGGGGATTCTGTCAAGATAGGCACACAATCCAAGACAAGCCAATCAAAATTATTTAAACTGAATTCTGAGACTTTTTAGAAACTCTCGAGGAAGCAGACTTTTTCTTATTCACTGGCCAAGAAAACAAAGCCGCAGCCCAGATGACCACCTTGGACAAGCTGTCCCCCTTCCTCCCTCAGATGACCACCTTGGACAAGCTGTCCCCCTTCCTCCCTCCCTCAGGAAGGGACAGGCTGCCCGACCATGGAAATGACCAAAGTCACAGAGACACACCCCGGGAGACAGGTGTCAGGTGCCCGTGGGGCAGGGTCCACCGAGGACTGGACTGCACAATCCAACAGTGGCCCTGGGTCCAGGCCATTGGAGGAAGATACTTTAATGGAAGATCAAAAAGAACAGAACATGCAGGGTCCGCCCTCTCTGGCACCCCGGGACCCAAAGCTAGGGAGGACACGGGGCCGATCTGGGGTTCGTTCGGGTCACAAGGCTCCAGGAATTTTCCGACCGACGCAACACCCTTTGGGTTTCCGGTTCCTGCTAAAAATCCTGCGGCTCGTGCTTCTTTGCGCCATGACTTTAGGAGATTAAGACACACTCAGCATCCGACGCTGTCGTGAATGCGCGTGCTGCGGGTTATGTTGAATGAAACGAGTGTGTTTCGAAATGAAGCAGGAAGGAGCCCGCAGCATGAGAAATGTCACCTCCCTCCTGGCAAGAGGCCTGGGCCTCGGCATCCTCGGTCCTCATGGAAGCGCGCACGCTCCCACGAGCGACTCGGGAGTGCAGAGCTGGAGTGTGCCGGGTGCCTCTCTGTGAATTAACCCTTGACCTCGGCCTCCAGCTGCCTCCCCGTAAGGACCACGGAGAGGACAGACAGAAAGGCACGAGGCGTGTGTGCCAGGGCTGCGGACTCACGAGGGCTTTGGAGATAAACGGCCATCCCCGAGCATGGTGCGCACTGCACCTGTGACGTGCCGAGCTCCCGCCAGGTGCCCAGGGAGGAGGCCTCGGCCTCTGCCGGAGCACCGTCACGCGTCCCTCCACGGGTTCAAAAGCCCTTGGTGACACTGGTGCTCGAGGCCGACATCTGAGTGGGTCACTGTCCGTCTGGCACTTGTCATTTTCAGACGCCCTCTGCTCAGCGCAGCACCAGGCACTGGCGCTCTGTCCGGCGGCCCCGCCGCGTACGCTCGACACAGAAGTCACTCCGGGTGACCTACACATCTCCTGTCTGTCCGGGGAGCATCAACGCTGGACGAGGGACAGCAAGTCGGCCGGTGCTGGCTGCTCAGGGCCTGGCCCTCGCTGAGGGATGCATTCTCCAAGTGGGGGACACTTGGCTCTGGTCAAGGTCACAGCAGCACAGTCCCCACTTCATCCTGCACCGACCCGCACCCCTCGAACATGGAGCTCACCTTCCCAGGAGTGTCTGGCGGAAGGGACCTCTGGCGGGTCAGTGAGCCCCGCGTGCCCAGTAGCCCGGCCGTCGGTAGGGCCCTCCAGGGACACGTGCGCCGTTGTCCCCTGTGGTGGAAGCGGCGAGCCCTACGCGTTGTTCTGCACTGGCGCTGGTCCGCAGGAGCAGGCTGTCCCCAGCCGAGGGAGATGTCAGCCTTGGGCACTGGAGGAGCTGAGGGCCATGGGCAAGGCCGACGAACGATGAGGAGCTGCACAGTGACAGCCTGGCCAGCATTCTAGAAGAATAGCCTGTGTCACAGAGCCAGGCAGGCCCTAGCCAATGCTCACGCCCCCCGGGAGGTACGGCGACGGCAGGTGGCCCTTCCCAAGCTCCCAGTACACTGGCAGCCACTGGTCTCGTCATGAACGGTGGGTCCCTCGTGTGACTGGCAGGCACAGCTGTGTGTGTTGAGAAATGTGTCTCCTGCCTGCCAGGCTGGCAGCCAGGTCAGGCCACACCGGGGCGCCTGGGCAGTGGCCCGAAGTGCCCACAGGGCGGCCTGGCCCGGTCCTGGCTGAGGCCTGCGAGCCCTGGGGACTCGGCCCTGGAGTGGAAACGGCAGGAAAATTACATCGCCGCCCAGGGCTTGATTGGGGTGCAGCCAGGGAGCGAGCCGGGGGGGCATGACGGCGACATTCGCTCTGCCCCACGGCGTCCGGTGCTGCAGGGCAAACAATGCGCACCTTCATTTGGGAAGCAATTCTAGGTCACAAACGAAACGGGGCCAGCCAGTCCAGGAAGCAACTCCTCTGCCCCGTGTGAGGGGGCGGGACCGGGTCCCCAGCGACTTCAGGGGAGACTGAGTCAGCCCAGAACGCGGGTGGGCGGTGGGCGAAGGCGGGGGAGAGGCCGGTGAGCTCCGGGGGACGGGCAGGGCCACCGCCGGCAGAGGTGCTGGGGAGGGAGGAGGCGATGCGGTGCCAGCACAGAAGGTGCCGGCCGGCGTCTGTTCAGGCCCAGCCCTGGGGAGACAGAAACGGCGATGCCCACCTGCGACCTGCGACAGAGTGCCGTGGAGCCTGCTGGCCCCAGAGGGCCGCGACGGAGAAGCCCCTGGAAGCTGGGGTTCGAGTCAGGTCGCGTCTAGGAGAACACGAGCCTCCTTTGGCCCTGCTGCACCCCCGCCCCCGAAACCCAGAAATTCTCAGAAGGACACTGAAGACATGGCTCAGGTCCAACTGCCGGGTTACGAGAGGAAGGAGCCAGAAGCCTGAGACACAGGGAGGCACAGGTCACCTGTGTGTGACTGGCAACCATGCAGGTCACAGACACAGGTCGGGCTCACTCCCGGGGTCACGGATGCGGGTCGGGCTCGCCCCCAGGGTCACGGATGTGGGTCAGGCTTGCCCCCGGGGTCACGGGTCAGACTCGCTCCTGGGCCCGTGTCCCCAGGGAGCAGCGCTGGTCAGTCCAGGTGCTGCAGGCTTGGCTGGGAGGGAGCTGCGCTGTGCCCAGGGCTGCCAGGCGCCCATCGCGCCCGGGAACGCCCATCAGGGACCGAGCTGGGCAGGGCCTGTGACTCCGGGGCCGAGGGCTAAGCGGTCTTCCTCCAGCCGGATTAAAGCTGAGCTCGGCAGTGTCCTGGCCGTCGTGAGTGGCCCACGACGTAAGCTGTGCCACAGTTGTTCACGCTCAGTGACGAATCCAGTGACATCCTGCCAAGTCCCTCTGTTGTATTAGATGCTCCGGAAGGGTGGGTCCCAGGAATGGACACTCCGTGTCATCGGAAAGTGCTTTGACGGAGCAGGCTGGGTGGCGGGGGCTCCGTGCGGGTGAGTTTGTGCGGCGCTGGTGGGCTGCCCGCTGTCCGCCCGTCCACTAACCACGGCCAGCGGCCCGTGCCCCAGAGTGCACACCACGGACCGGTCACCACGGCGCAATTGGGCTGAGTTCGCTCTGCCGTGTCTCGGGTGTGAGGACGAGAGCCTGTGGCCCGTCTGGCCGGGAGGGACAGGCTCCCCCCGGTCCGGTCCGCAAGCCGGTTCCTGGTCACGGACAGCTCTCCTGTGAAGGCTTCTTGAGTGACCGACTCCGAGTCCCACCTCTGGGCAGAGCCTGTCGTCGTCGTGGGCAGGGTGTCTGTCTGTCCGGTGCTCCCACAAGCCTCTCACTCCACGGGACGGAGGGGCCCCGGCCTCGGCCCGGACCCCGTCCCCAGAATCAGCCTCCTGTGGCAGGCCCTTTCAGCCTCGTCGGCGTCCCGACAGAATTGACCCACACCCAGAAAGAGTACAAACACCTGAACATCCTAGACAGTTTTTAAAAGCCCTTTGCCCCCCTGGCCGGGGGCAGCGGTGACGTGGGGAGGGGCCTCAGCGTCTCTTTTTGCCGACATCATGTCTGCTCTCTCCTGGTGCTCGCCGGTCACCACACAAAGTCCCCGGAGGTGGAGGGTGGCAGAGTGTCCCAGATGTGTCCTCCTGACTCAGACCTCAGGAAACCCACAGAAACCCCGATTCTGCTCTGCCCAGCGCGGGGCTCCCTGCCCTTCTGTCTTGGCCGTGTCCAAATCTTAACGCTGGGCACACACGTGCAGGACAGGAAAAGGCGTCACCCGCGGGCTTCGCCTGCCCTCCCGCAGAGACCCTGCCGTCTCTTTTTGCCGACATCATGTCTGCTCTCTCCTGGTGCTCGCCGGTCACCACGCAAAGTCCCCGGAGGTGGAGGGTGGCAGAGTGTCCCAGATGTGTCCTCCTGACTCAGACCTCAGGAAACCCACAGAAACCCCGATTCTGCTCTGCCCAGCGCGGGGCTCCCTGCCCTTCTGTCTTGGCCGTGTCCAAATCTTAACGCTGGGCACACACGTGCAGGACAGGAAAAGGCGTCACCCGCGGGCTTCGCCTGCCCTCCCGCAGAGCCCCTGCCGTCCCTGTCGGCCATCTGCAGTTAACCCCAGACGGCCGTCACGTGACAGCATTCGCGCCGTACTTCTGAGAGGTGGTCTCTTGTCACCTGACTTTCCGATGTGTCATAGTTTGCCTCTCGCCTGGACGTCGCGCTTCTGGAGGGAGGAGTTTTGCCTCCGGCTCGTCTGTCTTCCTGGTTCCAGGCCGGTCCCAGC